TTGAACTTGGAATGGTTTGGTTTTGGTTGGAATGCGTTTAAATGATTATTGAAGTTCTATCAAATGTAATTACACGAACAATAATACTTTAAGAGATAATTTTTTTTCTATAAAGCATTTTGCCATTTTTGGGGGGAGAGGAGAGGGCTTCAGCCCTCCCCCCCGTGGATCCGCCTGTGGTTAATAGTAATGGTTCGACACCTTATAATCTATTGAGATAGAACTTCGAATTTTCTGATAAATAAATATAACTGAATGAATACATCAACAGTTTTTAAAACAGAAAATGAAGTTGTTATTATGATTAACTCATCGTTACGAAATTATTTACACAAACTACGAAAACAGTTTCTTTTTAAATGGTGTTGAAAGATATATTTGGTTCATTATGAATGAGAGCCTTCATATTGTATCTTGGGGTAGAAACGCCTATTTTTATAATAATAAAAGACTTATTTCCAATATATCAGTATAACAATATATATATATATATATATATATATATATATATATATAAAACTTTTCCTTAATTAACCTTTGAGTATTAAATTTAAACTTAACTATTTAATTGGAAATAAGGTCACTTAATTATTAAAGAGTAGCTTAATATATGTTTTTTTTTTTCCTGTTCTTCCCTACCTCGCCTTTTAGGCTATACGGGATTTTCCCGGACCAGAGGGTGAGGGCGGGGAATTTAAAATCCCCTCTGGCACCGGGACACGAACTCGTGACTATTTTCATATCTTAGAATCATATAGCCGGGCAACGGCGGTGCAGTGCACACGCGTTAGCCCATTCGGCCACCCCGCCCTCTTAGCTTAATATATGTGCTAGTGGACGGTGCTGAGACTGTCGGTGTGTCCCTGGCCTGATCGAAGCTCTATTTTTTAAAATTCTAGCTTTGAAGAGGATCCCATGGTTGACTAATAAAAAGAAAATACCGGGATCGAAACGTCAATAAACAGAACAAATAAACATTCAATAGTTTATTAAATAATAATTAAGTGACCTTATTCTCAATTAAACAGTTAAGTTTAAATATATATATATATATATATATATATATATATATATATATATATATATATATATATATATACAACGTGTTGTATATAGATATATACAACACGTTAAAAAAAACTAGCAAATACTTTGATGAATGCTTCGTCGTTTGATATATATTTTAGAATGATTAAGTAATGTGTAATAAGATGATTGTCTGGATTCTTTAAGTTTTTTTCTATCTTAAATGGAATGAATGATTCGCATAAAAAAAATACTAAAAAAGTAGATATCGAAAGTGAAAATACACAGGATAGGAGATTGACTAGCAATAAATATTTATAGGAAACGTCACCGCTATCAAGGACGAACTAGAAGCGATCCATTGCCTATTTGGTGATATCGCTAAGAGCTATTTTAATAGAAGAGATACTGAAACCTAGTTTAAATTTATGCGACAAAAAAAAAGTGAGAAATGCTTTTTTTTTTTTTTATTTATTTATTGGCTATAAGTACCTTTCAGTTGACAGAATGCCTAGCTCAAAATTCAACATTTTTGATTAGTAATTTTAGTGATAATTCTAGTGAGAAAAATTATACCTTTCTTCAGTTCTATAATTCAACACTGCGATCACCAACTCTGGAATCAACTTACTCACTGTCTGTACAGATATTATTAATTTTTTAACCGGAAATATAACTATAATTATTCAAATCTTCTGTTCGCTCCCGCAATATTCGTTCCAGGTCTTCTGATTTATACATAAGGCCCCACCGAACCGCTGCTTTCGACGGATCATTCATTATCCGATCCTCATCCCTATGGAACTCCATCCCTTCCCACATCCGTCAATCTAATACCATTCTTACCTTTAAATCCCGCCTGTTCAATCATTTCTTATCCATCCAGACCCCATGAAATCATAAAATTGTAAATAGATACCACTGAAAATATGTATATAAATTATTAGATTGTCCTTCATTATTTTTAATTTTTTTATTATTAACTTATTCAAGTTAGAAAGTAACATATAATTTTTTAATATGACTATTTCCTTAGTCAACATTTCTTTTTATGTATCTCTGAGGCTCCTTAGCCCACATTACTGTCCTTATGTATTTATTCTAAAGGGACTTGTCCCAGAATAAATAAAGTATTATTATTATTATTATTATGATTTTACTCAAAAATGTTAAAATTGGAGTTAACCATTCTGTCAACTGGCTCATATTTATTGTTGGTTAAGTATACAAAAGTTAATAGTCCTAAATTAAATCCCCATATTAAGAACATATAAATTTTATCATTTTTCAAAACATAATATTTGAAATAATCGAACGCTTGATTATATTGGCTATCATATAATATATTATAACCACTCATAACACTCAATGTATTTAATATTTCTTTCACTCTATGTCAATTGGTGTAAAATTCCTTTCCTGAAATAGTGTATTCCCCAAAAACATCTACTAGACATCGTTGTTTTGTAGCTAATAACTGGTAACCAGTAACGTGTTTAAGAATTCGGAATTCCCGTATAGGAAAAAAAATCCTGTATTAATCATTGTAGGACTAATCGACATACATAGATAAAATAATATATGCATTTTGAAAGAAAGTCATATTTCCCAATGAGATATAAATGAAAAAATAATACAAATTTTTTTTTTAAAAAAGAGAACAAGAATCAAAAAGGGGAGTACAAAGTTCGAAAAATAAATATAAGAAAACTACTTCAAATTAATAGACTAAAAACAGTCACGTAGTAATAGTGTATAAAGAAATATGACTTCAGAATTTGGTGCTATAATTTAATCAGTCGTAAACGGTATAATATCTACATTCACGTAGAAATAGTGTTGCTGAAATGCGAGACCGAGACAAGTCTTGGTCTTGCGCAAGTCTCGCAACGGTCTTGCAGTTACCTATTAGCTTAGTACTACAGAGATATTACTGTATTTTTTAGATAGGGGAACCTAACTAAGCCCGAATGAAAAATTAGAGGAGCTAAATGCAAAAAGTATATTGGTTATACCAATTCTTTACATATAGTATCTAAAATTGTCAAGCATTAGTAACTATTTTGGATTACTTTTTATTCAAAAAATCGATTTTTTTAACGAGTCTTGCAAAGTGATTTTGTGCAACACTAGTTTCAAACACTTTTTCATTATCAAGAGCCTTAATAAAATTTATATAATAAACTATTAATTTCGTTTTTAGTTTTTAATAAATTTAAATTAGGTTAATATAGTTAAGATAAATGTACCAGAAATAGACATTTTAAGATAAATTTTCAACATTAATGTTAAACACAACTTAATTTCTGACAGCTTAAGTTTCGTTTTTACTAACAGTCGATCAGTTTATTATTAATGAAAACTTAAGAAATCCTGACAGCGTATTTTGTACCAGTAATAGACACTCGGATTTTGGGAGTCGACATATTTTTTTTATAAACTGTAAGATGTGTGGGTAACTTTGGGACTGGGTGCGGTAATCTATTGGTACTGTATCGATGGGACAGTGGGTAAAATTTAGTTTGTGGTGATTCCGTGGATAGGAGATAGGTTTGAAATTTTTATTTATTCATCTGTTGTTTGCCATTTCCTTGTTTAAAAGTGTGGAGAATTTATTTTGGATTTTTTTAATTATCTTAAGATGGGGTATCTTAAAGTTTAGTTTGTGGTGATTCCGTGGTGGATACACTGTGTTGCTTCAGTCTACAGTAACCTGTTTGGTGTAGGCATGTACTGCACTACTACCTTGCGGCACACTACTCTTGAGGCACAAGCGAAAGTTTCATGAAAACAAGAATTTTGAAAAAAAAAAAAAAAAAAAGCAATGGAAATAAATGAAATCTAACTGCTATCTATAGTGAACTGAGGTTCACAAACTGCCACAAGGTAGTAGAGCAGTACATGCCTACATAAAGCACGTTTTTGCAGACTGATCCAACACAGTGTATTCACCGCGGAATCACCACAAACTTTAAGATACCCCATCTTACGATAGTTCAAAAAATCCAAAATAAATTCTCCACACTTTTAAACAAGGAAATGGCAAACAACGGATGAATAAATAAAAAATTCAAACCTATCTCCTAAAGAAGAGTGATAGGGCAGACCTCTGAAACAAACACTCGGCCTTCCTTCATTGAAAAATCAACTTAAAAAAATCAACCAATCGTATATTGTGGCATGATATTATTACCTGAGGTTCAGGCATCAACCTTAGTGTTTTATCTTCAAATGTAGTTTTAAGCATATAAATATTATTACATTTTAATGAGTTGAAAACTGTCCATTATTGGTAGCTTTACCCCAAATAGACGAGTTTTTAAAATGTTTCCTAGATACTTTAATAAATGAAAAAGCATACCAAACACAATTTGACCAATGATTACAATTATAAAACAATTCAAAAATATATGAATATTTTTTTTTTTATTTTAATGAAATTTACAACTGTATTACATGGAAAATGCAACAAGTAAATATGACATTGGTAACATGACATGTACAACATGAAGAGAAATTACCCATTGGTAGAACTTAAATATGAATATTATATTAAAATTGTTGACAATTTCTCATAAAAATAATTAAAGAATAGTGTATTATAGAGTTATTTTAAAATATAAAATGTACTTTGGGATGGTAGTGATGATGAACAAATTGTTTCGACCGGTAAAGATTATATATGTATATAAAAAAAAATAGTTTTAAGGATTAAATTTTGAAATAATGATGATATAAAAAGAATTATTTAAAGTTCACATATCAATAGAATAAAAAATTTAAATTATTATTAAATACATTATACATTATTTTATGTTTTTTTAGAGTTTGCAAACGTTACAAAGGGTCATAACGAAACCTTATGTCTCTAAAGAGTCACACAAATAGCTCTTAACTACGGAGAATAATCTCTGGAGAAGAAAACCTTGAGAGTCGCATATACATTCTGTTATCGAATAACAGGTTCATAGAGAATGCGAGTAAATAAAACGCGTCATTATGTCCGATTGTTACTGCAATTTTGTAAATATATATATATATATATATATATATATATATATATATATATATATATATATATATATATATATACATATTTATATCTAAACAAAATTTATATATTCTATATTAGATATAGTTTAAGGACTAATTCTGAGTATCATTCAGATTCGTAGAATGCACCTGTTATTTTCACTCCCTTTTGGAGTAGAGCCCTAGAAAACGATAAATTATTCTCAAGGCAGTAGAGAGAGTTGGCCGATTAACATACGAGCAACAACTTTCGGTTTTCGAAAATTATACCGTTTGTGTATATATATATATATATATATATATATAAACTGCAACAAGTTTAGAGGCATAAATAAAAAAAGAAGGAAAAAAAAAATAGAAAAACTAAAATATTAAAATTATAAAAGATACATTTTGAAGGAATTATCAGGATTCCACCACGACGTGATACAATTATGTGACATGAATAATGTAATGATGATGGCCTATGTCTGATAGAATATTAATCAGTACATAGGTAATCATGCTATCATTTAAATTGTATTCAGTTGGAATCATAGAAACCCACAGCTCATTATCATCACAAGGAAATAATATCAAATTCCACAAACCAGCTGGTCTACAGAAGTCTGAACAATACGCCCTTAATTAGGAGAGAGGCAAGTTGAATCACTATTTTTAAAAATAGAAAATTAAACTGAAAGGAATTATTTATGACGAAATTACTACTGACAGAAAGAAGGAATAATACATAAACGTCAATCAATATTGATTGCTTTGAGCACTCAATCTATAACAAAACTTCCCGTAAAAATTGTTCGTAGCCACTATTAATAAAGCGTGGGGACGAACTTTTAAGATTATTGGAGTCGACTAAATAGAGTATCAGGGGCACTGCTAGTATGTAAAATATAATCATTTTATTAAAGAAAGAACATTTTAAATTTAATTGTTAAAAAAACAAGGAAAAGTTTAGAAATGTTTAAAGCTCATTGATTCCTAAACAAATCATAAAGAAAAAGTATGACCGATTTCTATTTTCAAACAATCATTTTCCCGTAATCTTAAGTAATAAATAAATTTAATTTTGAGAGGATCAAAAACTTAATACCACAGAACGAAGTAATATTCTACGAAATCCGAATAATTTTAGAATAAAACCAATTGATTTTAAAGAAGAAAAAAAAAACAACAGAAAAAACTAGAAACTAGAGAACGAGTCGCACTAAATAAAATTAAGACTTTCTTCAACATTAAGATTTTTAACCTTTGAGGAGCCATTGGATATATATTATATATTTAAATATATTATATTTAAACAATATAAGAATTATTTCGATAGGGCTTATATAAAGAAAGTAGGAAATGAAAATGCACGATACGAGGGTAAAGATATCAACCCGATCTGATAAGAGATTTCCAATCACTTCCTCTATTCCAGCCATGATTCGAAATTATTAATTATTATTATATCTATATTCCTTTTATTCTTATATTTAAATTTTCAAACAATTTTTCTTTTTATGATAATTGTGTCATTTTCACGGCGATAATGTATATTCAATTTATCTACAAAAAGCACTATTAGTCGGTGAATATTTTAATAGTGCTAATAAAGTCAATAATGCATTTTAAAAAATTAATAAATATAATAAGAATTATTGCATCATAATCGTCCTGTTGAATTCATACTTGGCACGATATGAGTCAATACTGCTTCACTGGGTCAATAGAAATTTTCATATTTCACAGCTTGATATAATCTTCAAAACTTTTAATATTTAGAACATTTTAATTTAAATACAATTTAATTTAAATACAAAAATTAGTATTATCAATTAGAAGTTGAAAATATATATATTACCTTTCACGCATCAAAAATTATGCAATAATTAATTAATAAATATTTAAAATAATATTATATTTTAGGATGAATATTATTGAGAATCAAGACATGCTTTTGCTCTTATTGACTGCATCGGCAGATTACTGTTTACACCTGGTTAGTTTCAAACAATACCTCGGCGCTCACCTGTATTTACCCAAACATGTTTAAAAAGAAAAAAAAAATAGATATGACTTTATCGATAAGGAATTATAATATATTTGGAAGAAGAAAAAAAAAATCTAAATAAAATATGTGTATATAAAGTAGTTGAAATATATTGACACGTAATTTACAATTTATTTATTTTTTTTATATACTTCATTGTCCTCGAAGTTAGGACACGGTAAAAATAAAAAAAAACAACCGACCTCGCCTAAGACAATGTGGTGGGGACGCGGGGTTTTCACCCCTCTCTGGTCAACACAATATATAAATATAAATATATAATGTAATATAAAAAGAAAAATATACAATAATGGACTGAAAGAATTAAAATATATTAATTTACCTCTCATTAATGCTTCTGATATGGTCAATCGAACACTACTAAGAGAATGACAGAGAACTTAGAAAGACACAAGACTCCACGCAGTTTGCGAGCTAGCAAGCGACTGACTACGGGCTCGCAGAGAACAACTATCCCCTCCCCCCCACCCCTGCTCTCCCATCGAATTTCCACTCCAGGAAGGCACCCCTCGGTACTTTGGAATATTCCAGGCTCTGGAACTGGATATGACCTGTCTCCACCAGCCTTCGAGGGCTGTAGAGTTGCAGGGAGGGAAGAATTTAATAAAAAAAATCCGCCAAATATTTCCGAATAATTGATAAATATATATATTAGTCTGCGATACCCATCAGACCCATTTTTATCAAATTATTAACATTAATCTAAAACTTTGAGAATGGTTTCATCTCACCGTGATCTACTTTTTTAACTACGAAAAATTCAAAATTGGACGTTTTATCATTAAAGCTATTGAGGTGATAAAAAAAAAAATTAATACCAGAGAGAATCGTTTTAATCACTATCATAAAACGGTGCTGCCCGATTATATTGGGTTGCTTTAAACACAGCATACTTATTAATAGCTACAGACAATTTCCAAAACTAAATAAAACCATTTTTAAGTTTAATTGAGTTAATTAAAAATAAATGAATTGATAATATGATACGGTTAACTTATAAGTAAATACAAATCAAGAAAAATAAATCATAAATATACTTTAAAAAAATATATATATAATATCTCAGAAATAAACGAATCAGAGAGCATCTGTAATTATTATTAATCTTTCAATATTATTTAAAATCAAGTATAAGTTTTTCAAGGTCTATACAGTTGATTCAGGAGTACCTCAAGAAACTATTTTTATACCCCTATTATGTATTCTATACACAAGATTCACAAGTCACCCAGACTATTAAGAACATTGTACCCTGGCCAACCACGTTACATTCTACAAGTTGCACAATATAACTTAAATAAAGTATTAAAATTCTTATAACCAACTACACGAAAATGAACACTTAAAATTGCATGGCACAATTCGAAATAACTTCGGAAATATACAAAATAAGAAATAAATAAGTGTTAAAAATTAAGGAACCTTATTTATTATTTAGTGGAATATATCGGAGGGTTTATTGTAAGACGTATTTAGTAAAATTTAAGAAATTCTATAAGTAATATATATATATATATATATATATATATATATAAAAATAAAAATTTCTTAGAGAAAAATAGAACTTTATTAAGAGAAAGCGCTGTTGAGTCTCCCATTGACAACAAAAGTGAGCATTAAATAGTCAGATAATTATATTGATAATATTCATTCAAATATAAAAAGGATTTTTTCCGACAAAATTAATACTAAGAAAAAAGAGATTTCTTGTGATTTATTGATTCAGGTGCTTCAATAACAGAATATTATAACAAACAAGTTAGCGCTGTTAATCGTCAATATTTGTTCTTATAACTAGTAATTTTCTAAATATAAATCTTTCCAAATCGAACGATAATTGTAACATGGTCAGACACCAACAATTGATGCAATATCACCTGGATTTCGAGACAAAAAAAAACAACATCTGATTCATCAACTCTTGGAATCACTAATTTTGAGAGCAATTGAAATTCAAGAGGAGACGTGCTACGTTTAATTAGCCGTTACTTCAACAGGCTATTGACGAACATCCGCGAGCTAAAGCAAACTCAAAGCTGCCCGCAATTAACTGGTATTGTGGCAAATTAAGTTCAAAGCTCAAAAAGCCCTTGAGAACCTTTGCTAATGACGAGGCAATGTTTAATTGATTCCATGGAATGAATCATCTAAGACAGGTGTTGTCTGATTCACGCTGAATTGGAAAAGATATTTATAAAGTAAACACTTTAAAAAGTTAAAATTACATATACCTTGAGGAGTGTTAAAAAAAAGAAAAAGAAATACAGAACAGGTTTTTAATGGAGTTAGGAAATATACAGCCGCCAAACTGTTATTTCTTAGTTTTTTTTTCAATTTTTCCGTAAAGTTAAAAATAACAGTTATGAGAATTACAGGTTTTCTTATTATGAGGTTATCAAAGTGAAAAAGTTCCAAAAGCTGGTTAGTATTCTGTAATTTTCATTGGCTGCTAACCTTAAATACTAAATACTTTAGAATCAAAATTTTCCAAAAAATTTATAATTTATGTCCACGTATACAGACTAGATGGATGAACATGACACTCAAAATAAAAAAAAATAAAAATAATATAGTAGGTTGCAATAATCATTAAACAATTTTAATGATGTGTGTCTTGTCTTAAGCTATGAAAAATACTATACAATTTCATGAAAAAGTTAATGAAATCACTTTAATAATTGTTTCAAAATTAAATTAGTACTTTCAATTTAATTTAGCCATTACCCTAGAACAATAAAAATCAAAGTTATCTTTTAAAACAATAGGATTCAATTTGTGTTAAAAAAGTTTAAAAGTTGTTTATTTCAAACTAAAAAAACTTACTTTATGTTTTGTAAAATTTTTTTACGAAAAAATATAATAAAATAAAAATACAATAATATTACTATTTATCGATTTTATAACTGAAGTATGTCCTTACATTTGTAATAATAATGAAGAAATCAAATCAGTTTAAAAGGCAATCAAATTTATTAAATAAATATATATATATATATATATATATATATATATATATATATATATATATATATATATATATATATATATATCCGATTTAAATACAAGCGTAACATTTGTATCGTTAATAAT